TATTAACATTTACAAATGTAGCACTAAAGCAAGTTATTTATTTTTTTCTTTTCTGACTGTGATTAATATTAATAAGCGGCAGTGGAAAGCAGGATGCTGTGGGTGGTGCTGTGTAGTGTGATTGAAAGCCTTTGTTCTGCGGAGAGGACAAATGAACTCTCCTGAGTCGGACACCCACGCAAAAAAAAAAGCACCTTGAGACAGAGGGTTAGAGAAAGAAAAAAACTGTTCTACTGCTTCCCCTGTTTTCCTTGGCAGAGATGGTGAAATGTGTTTGTCATGGTCTTATTGGATAAAGCTTATTAAAATGAAAACAAATCCAGATCACCTTTATTTTATTTTATATTTTATTATTTTATTTATTTATTTAAAAAAAATTTGTGTTATAATCAATTTGTCTAGCCTTTTTTTCCAGCCTTTTTTAAATTAATTTATTTTATTTTATTCCAATAATGGTGATTCTTATTAGATTCTCATAACTAAAACACTTTCTACTGTTACTAAAGTATTTTTTATGTTTTTGTTACATTTTATTATGATTTTAAATAATTCTTTACACTTTAAATAAATAATTGTAAATATTTTTTTCTCACTACACAATTAAAACCTTTTGTATCAATGCCGTTATTTTGTATTATTATTATTATTTTTAAATGTGCTTAGTTATCAATAAAACAATGCCACAAAGCCAGATATCTTTATGATCCTCGAAAAAAAATTTTCCTTTTTTCTTTCTTTTGATTTTGGGGTGAAGTAAACTGTAAAAAAAGAGTAATTTTCTGTCAGGACATTATCCATTAATTTTACAGACATTTCCGTTAACCCTAAAACACAACACAATGAAATTCAAAATACAGGCAAAACACCTGTAAAAAATCAATACGGAAAAAACTTTCTTATTAATACAGTACATTTTGCCCTATTTTTCCATGATTTTTTTTCCCCATTGTATATTTTTACCACATTGCATGATTTCATGAGACTACTGGCACAAATAAACCACCTTTTTCAACATCCCTAGACATGCAGTGCTTCGTTTTGTATATATATGCAAATTTAAATAAACATATAAGATCACATACTACGCAACTGCTGCCAGTGGTTGACAAGTTACAGTGAGAAAAGTTGGACAAATGATATTGTGTCAGTGTCACTGGCATCCAAACAACAGACGTTCACGTTTTCCCTTGTGTGTGTTTGTGCCTCATGTTTCTGTGCGCCATGGAAACAAAATTGGTGCTAAATGCGATTACGTGTTAAGTTTAATGCTGTTTTCAGCACGTTTTGCAACACAAACACTAAAGCAAGCGTGCACAGCTATGTGCATTGTGAACGCTCTTTATTAACTAGGAAATATTTCGTACTATGATTTAAGACGCTAATTTAGACAGTCAAGAGTGGTAGTGAATTAGTCGTGGGACTGAATTTGAAGACACAGGCGTTCTTTGTGCACATCGTGCAAGCCCTAGGCTGCAACTTGATGAGTTTATAACTGTCAGCAAAATTGAAATTATTATCAGGTTACGTAAGTTAGCAACATTTCTCTTGGCCATACTGAGGGTATGTAATTAACTTTTAGACCTCTCTATTTGAGCCAAGTTTTTCAAAGCAGGTGTGCCAATTGAAACAAGCGCAGAGCCACCTTTTCTCGCCTTCGTGTCTGTCTCGCTCTTTTCTGCTCTCTCTAGCTTTGTGTTGATGTAGACGCTTGCTCTGGAGGGCCTTGTTACCAATATGTGCGCCTTTCACTTTTCAGCCATCAATGCAAAAGCCTTTCCTTGCTTTGTAACAATTTAGCATTCCCAGGAGACCTCCTTGTGTTTTGAGCATGCTTCAGTCGCCCTGGCACTCTGGAATCGCTTAACGCAGCAAATTTCTCATCAGCAAAGAACTGTGCTGAACTGAGTGGAAATCAAATCTAGGGCATGTTTTTGTTAAATGAGTCCTGATGCACTCATCTGGTCTGTTGTATTCAAAAAGGGGATGTTATTGACTCATAATTGTTATTTTATTCTGGCAGTGAAAGTTTGGCAGTCCTCTCACAATGCATGTTGCAATGATTCCTGTTACTGTTGATCAAACTTTAGTGCATTATAATGCACCATTTGGACTACAGGCTTTAAAATAATCAAATTGTGTTGCTTTGCAACCTGAAGAGGACAGTTTTTATTTTATCCAGCTGTATTTACTCAGTGCAACTTATAACATCCAAGTGAAAGATGAAAGCTGAAAAAAGCAGTGAAACTGTTTTCAACACTGATATTATTAAATATTTGTTGAGCACCAAATCAGCATATTAGACTGATTTCTGAAGGATCATGTGACTGAAAACTGGAGTAATGATTATTTTTTTTTAATCTAAATTTTAGTGTATAATGAAATCATTTACATGAGAGTCAGTGGCCCCTGTTACAGAATGCATTCAGTTTAGTGTGAAATAATGAAATTCAGCTGTTTGTTTCCAGTGTTTCAGATGATCGGCTGAAGTCTACTGTAGTGGAGTGACTGTGGCCCCTTAGTGCAGGTGTGCATCTTTCCGTTAACATTCCAGGGCCCCTCCATCACTAATGAAGGATCATGCCTGGATCTCCGTTTATTTACTATCCATTGATACATGGTTAATGGTTGTCAGATGCGGCAGTGTTAGTAGGGCCCGAGATGTATTTGTTTGCTCTGGCTGATTTCCTCAAACTAAACAGGTATCGGTGCTCGGCAGTTGGTTTATATCAAAACAAGAGTGACTTTGGCGGCTCCACCTGGTGTGGCCACTCTGACAGTAGCATAACATCTTTCTTAACATACGAGCTGTTTACTGAGCGAAGCCACCTGACCTGCGGGTGTTAGTTTAGCGCTAAATCCTGCAACACGGATGGGTGATAAGGAACGTGTGAAAATAACATTTCTGTGTTTGTCTGCTAGAGCGATCCAGACTGAATTATGAGGCACGGACACCACAGGCCACATGCTATATTTAGTTTAGCAGGTTGTTGTAGGAGAAGGAACATATTGCTTGAGTTGAAGTAAAACACTTTTCTGATTAAACCGTTTGGTCTGAGAGGTCCAGTTTCAAAACACTGTTGGGCATTAGATCCCAAAAAAAGTCCAAAAAGTGCTGGGTTTACATCTTCTGAAGCTGTTTTAGGCATCTCAGTTATGGCGTGCTGTCTGCGGCGAATATGTGTTATATTTTGTGTGTATGTAAGGTCCGTAGGCTTTATTCTAATGCCATAATGTTAAATAGTATTTTAGGGAGAAAAGAAAATCTTCTGCGGGTCAAAATGATCAGAACACAACGTAAGGGTTAAATAAATTACATTGGATTTCTTTTTTTCTAAAGTTACACAATGATTTTCAGACCTTTGTAGGTGTGCCTTACGTTTACAAATAGTTATTGGAGCCACAGTATGTGCTGCACATTAAATCAATTTTAAATTCTTCTCCTCAAGTTACGGATCTGAAAGAAATGAAGACGTGCCAGTCTTCTTGGACTTCTTCATTCACCACAGTCATTCCTGTGAGCCTGTTTTTTAATAACTATCCTATCTGACTGTGATCAGTTCAGAACTCTAGAGTTTCAGATATCCATCATTCAGTTGCTTTACACTGCCAGGACTGATCCAGGTTACAGTGCCAAGTGAGGGAAGGAGATGGAGAGCCTCATTTATACAAGCCCAAATACAGAACAGCCATTTAAAGATAATCTACTGTCACAATGTTTTTTCTGTTCTGTCATATGTGACCCTGGACCACAAAACCAGTCATAAGGGTAATTTTTTTTAAATTGAGATGTATACATCATCTGAAAGCTGAATAAATAAGCTTTCCATTGACGTATGGTTTGTTAGGATAGGACAATATTTGGCCGAGATACAACTATTTGAAAATCTGGAATCTGAGGGGGGCAAAAAAAAATTAAATATTGAGAAAATCGCCTTTAAATTTGTTCAAATGAAGTTCTTAGCAATGCATATTACTAAACAAAAATTAAGTTTTGATATATTTACAGTGGGAAATTTACAAAATATCTTCATGGATCATGATCTTTACTTAATATCCTAATGATTTTTGGCATAAAAGAAAAATCTATAATTTTGACCCATACTATGTTTTTTTGGGTATTGCTACTACTATACCCCAGCGACTTAAGACTGGTTTTGTGGTCCAGGGTCACATATGTGGTTTTCTTTTATTAAAAAAAACTTTTTTCTGAGAGTGTTGTGGGACATTCTAGATCTTCTAAAACCATTTTAAACTGCATTATGCTAATTATTATACAATTATAATTCATGTCACTTTATGACCTCATATTAATTAAGAAACTACATGGAATATTTGTACTTTTAAAAAAAATGCATTTGTCACACAGCAGGACCATTTAAAATGAAGGCAGAAAGATTAAGGAAACTTAAAATAAATGGTGGCCAGTCACAGAACTCTTATACATTCATGTAATTTAATAACTTCAATCTTGATGTTGATGTTAATGTTAATAAAAAAAGATCACTATAAAAAGACTTGAGAACTTAAACCATGGTACATATCCCAAAAATTGTTTTAAATAAAATAAAATTACGAACGCTATATCTTGTTGTATCTATGTCTTGTTTTAATGCTAATTGTGTTTTAATTGATTGGATGTATTATTACTTTATAGACGAGGTAACAGAAGAGTTTGAGAAAGCAGAAAAATAATGACATTTAATTCATTCTTGATTTGAATTTAATTTCTTTTTTTAATAATGCATGCATTTAATGTGTTTTTGACGTCTACCCATTTTTTCAGCTCTCTTCATCTGTACAAGAATCTGGCGGTGGGCAGATTTCCATCATCACATCACGTTTGTGCTGAGGTGTGCGGCGTCTCACATGCGATTGGCTGCGGCTCCCAGCGGCGACTGCAGCCTCTCTTCATCCCTTCACGGAGCTTTGCAGGCAGAAGCGAGTCAGAGCGAGAGGTGAGGCCTCACTGAAGCGTGTTTATTTGTGAGGAGTCACAGTGTCAGGTGTATCGGTGAACAAACAGGCCTCTGTTGTGTGGTGAAAGAGGCCACGCTGCTTTTAAGAGCTCACTTTTATCACCTCTGCACTGAAGGCTGATGGAGGTATTACGACTCTCTCTCTCTTTCTCACTCAGACTCATACACTCTCTCTCACTCACACAATCTTTTTTTCCTCTTTTCTTTCTCTCCGGTGAGCAGTCTGTCATTTTTGGGGTGGTATGCAGGTAAGAGACATTGATATATTAGGTGAATTTTTTGTGTGTGGTATACTTTTTTTTGAGTAAGCATTTTGAAAATCTTTTTTTTATTATTATTTCTTTTTTAATCCATAAAAATAATGTTATTATTAAATGTTATTTAAAAGTGATTAGATAGATAGATGTTTTTTTCCTCAGTTTAGTTCTATTAGTATGTCAATTTAAACTAAATTAAATTGAGAGCTGAAATAAAAAGTGTTTATTTTTAATTATATATATAAGTTATTTCAAACAAAAAAAAAATGATGGTTTTAATTTTAGTATCGTATAACTATAAAAACCCTGATATAAATGTATTATATACATTTTTTTTTTCATTTTATCCTGACGTTTTGTTCAGCTAGTTTCTTTGGCATGTGCATTTCACTTATATGTGTACATTTCATTTAAATGGTACATTAACTAGACAGTCTTGCAACTCTAAATTGTGAAGGAGTGTTGAATTGTGAGAAGAAAAAAAAATACCAATACAAAAGCAGCACTGCTCAATTGTAGGGTGGGTGGACATTTGAGCAAGGCATTCTGGGTAGGTGTACATGTACAGCAATACAGCACAGTTCCCTGGTAAAAAATAGTTACTGTTAGATAAAGGTTTGGGCATTCAAATTTTGGTATACACACACAAACATACACACAAATTTTCATGTGCAAATAAATAGAGGCACTGATATGTATAAACACCCGTTCCCTCCTGCAACGTTTACTTCTCTACTCACTCACACTCCGTCAATCCCACTCTTGCGTTTAGCATCCTTCAGTGGAGATCATTATTTACCAAACAGGCTTCCTAATAAGTGTGGAGTGATTACCGAGAGGAACGCAAGGAAGAAAAAAGAGAAAAACCTCCGCTAGAGGAATATCCATCATAATTGATGTGTTGCAAAGCAGATTACACACATTAGCGCACACAGTTTTGAATATGACAGCTCCAACTGAACATGACAAATTCCATAATGCGGAAAAAAAGGAAGGTATTTGACTCTCAGGGTATTAGGATGCTCGGCGAGCAACAAAGCAGCATTTGCATGCGAGTGTAACCAACCCCCCACCTCTGCTCCTTCGGCCATAATTATCTCTCATTTGTTCTTTATTTCAGAAGGATCCTGCATGCAGCGTTTTGCGGGACGGCTGTTGCGTTTGTCTCGTAGCGCGCCTCTGGTTGAGCCGGGCTAATCCACAACACATCGTATTAGATGCGCTGCTGTTATTTACTGAAGCTGCTTACTGTAACAGTTACACAGAGCTGCTTCACACAGCTATCAAGTGCTCCTTTTGAAGACATTCATAAAGGATAAGGATTTGAGAGATTTACTAAAGCACTTCTACACTGAAAGTATATTGGAATATGAGAAATAGAAAATCATTTAGGTGTCATACAACTAATCTTATAGTATTTCGCTTATTGTTATTATTATTATTAAAACAAAAATAGTCTAAAATATTAAATTAGAATTCGTTTTTACTTCTTTTTCGTATTATTATTTTGTATATGTATACAGAGTTGGAGAATAACTACCTGTATTTTTTTAATGGATTTTTATATAGAGAGATTTTAATGGCCTGTAGATATTATTATTATTAGGGGTTCAAGCACGAAGTGCTGAAACCCTATTGTAATTGTTAGGATTTTTTTTATTATTATTATTATTATTATTATTTTTCTCCGCTAAAACTGATCGTGCAGAACAAACCGTAAGGCGTAGAGAGATGAAACTTGTCCAGAAGGTAGAGCTCCCTGAGGGGACATTCTGACAAAGACTCACCCCAATCGGCCAATAGGTGGCGCCCAAAATACTATTTTTAATCATTGATTTAAGGGGTTACAGCCATGTTAACAAAATCTTTTTCCTTATGTGCTTAAATGCCTTAACTGCTTGAACCCCGGTAATTGCTGCTTGCAGCTATATTTATTATTGATATTGTCTGTATGTATATAGAGTTGGAGAAATCCTACATTTTAATTTTTCATTCAGAGAGAATGTTTAACTGTGTGTAGAATATTATTATTATTTACAAAAAAATATTTGAACTATAATTGCATTTCAACTGGATTTGTTTGGATTGTTATCCTTACAATTACAGTTCTTATTCATCCACCTTTTATCAGGCTAAAATTTGAGCTATCAAGTGCTCCTTTTGAAGACATTCATAAAGGATAAGGATTTGAGAGATTTACTAAAGCACTTCTACACTGAAAGTATATTGGAATATGAGAAATAGAAAATCATTTAGGTGTCATACAACTAATCTTATAGTATTTCGCTTATTGTTATTATTATTATTAAAACAAAAATAGTCTAAAATATTAAATTAGAATTCGTTTTTACTTCTTTTTCGTATTATTATTTTGTATATGTATACAGAGTTGGAGAATAACTACCTGTATTTTTTTAATGGATTTTTATATAGAGAGATTTTAATGGCCTGTAGATATTATTATTATTATTATTGATATTGTCTGTATGTATATAGAGTTGGAGAAAGCCTACATTTAAATTTTTCATTCAGAGAGAATGTTTAACTGTGTGTAGAATATTATTATTATTTACAAAAAAATATTTGAACTATAATTGCATTTCAACTGGATTTGTTTGGATTGTTATCCTTACAATTACAGTTCTTATTCATCCTCCTTTTATCAGGCTAAAATTTGAGGGTGTTTGAATCGCAACGCTCCTCAGAAGTGTAATCTGTAACCCTCCACCTCACACTTCATGATAATCACCTTCCAGCACAACAGAAGGAAAGAAATAATATCCCACCTTCTGATTGTAACACCTTCTACAATATTTGAGTCCTCTTTACCAAATGCGAGCTTGAATTGATTTTTATCATGCAATATGTGGATCTGCTAATGGCACATCACAATTCAGGTCGAGTAAATCTGTTGTTCGTTGCACCGAAAGACAAAAAGTAAAGCAATGCTCTCGCCCTCCACGCTTGAGCACAATTAAACACTTGTGCTCCAATTTCTCTCTGGATCCATATGTGCTTTCTCCCACACAGTCTCTCATGTTTTCTTCAACACGTGTAAATTCTAATAAGGCTGTTTAATTTCTGTCACACTCCTGGGTGTTATTGAAGTCCTTGGCAGATATTTTACTGAACGTACACTGTCGCAGATTTGTATAAATTGTAAGAGTATGTTTGCTGACTAAAAGGCAAATGGAAAATGTGTTCTCTGCGTAACTGCCTTTTTATTCTATTTATACTGATAAGAATAAAATGGGTTTTTTTTTTCATGTGCTCTCGAGTAGTTCCATCAAATTCCTCCTGGGATATCAGTAATTTTCCTGAGAGCCAAATACGCATGTTCTTGTTTGTAAGAATTATTTTAAGCTTTTAGTGATTGCTTATGGTGCAGCTTTAATCGGTGTTGAATTAAAACAATCAGTGAGGTTGTGTGTGGCAGCACGAGTTGTTTTGAAATGTTATGGGCTGTGTTCAGTCGAGCTAACTCTGCTCCAACACTGGCCTCTAGTGGCTGGTGCTCCCTGAATAGTGTGTTCAAATATCACACACACTAAACAGATCCGGTCTCCTGATACATACAACAACCATTTTAAGTGACATTTCCGTTAATTAGGATGAAACAATTATAGCTGAAGGGAATTAAAGTGACCCATACAAAGAACAATTAAAACATATCATTAATTTATAACTTTTTACAGTTATAATAACTTAGTTACTATCCAAGAAAAATACGACAACCTTTACCCATGACCACACCTATGCAGAAAGACATTGAAAGTAAAACAAGTCACTTATTACATTTATTGAAGGGACTTTTGTACAATGTAATAATAATTGTTATACTATTGTATTATTGGTTTAGTATTATGTAATAATAATCTTTTAATAATTTTATAAATATATAAAATGATAGTTATATATTTTATTATTATTGTATTTAATATTATTTATTATTTATAATAATAATATGCAATTTATATATAATAAATAATATTAGTTTTTGTATTATAGCATTCAATATTCATATTTTTTATTATATTTTATTATTAATGTTTTCACTATTTTGTGAGAATAACATCGTTTAAATGACATTTTTAATATTTATTAATATTGTATTTAATATTTGTATTGTATTCTGTTATTGTAGTATTAATGTTTTGACTTTTTTGAGAATATCATTTTTAAATATCATTTTTATATTTATTTGTATATAAAAAGACTTGTATTGTGATACCAGTTTTTCATTGTAAATGTCCAAATGTTAAGATATGAATAGATACTTTTTTTAAAAACATACATTTTATAATTGAGTGTTTAGGCTGAAAACTGATATCCCAACCTGGCTGCCTTTCGGAGTTAAGCACATGACCCTCGAAATCAGCATTAACTCAGTTATAAATATGTAACCCTGACTCCCTTTTGACCCTGCACCTGTTATTCTGCTTTCTTCCTCATTCCCTATCATCCTCTTCATCAGCATGTCGTCCCATACCTCCCTCCTGTCCCGCAGCTGTAGGCCCCATATCACATCTTTCGAGTAGGTCAAACGGCGAGTGTATACTGCTCAGGCTGTAATAGGCATAATAGGGTCAAGCCTCTGCATTTAATAAACAATTATCCATTAATAATAAATAAGGCTCTCTCTAAAGGGCGTGACGACGGCCCTCTGCAAGCCTGGAGATGAATAATGCACAAAGTCCTGGTCAAACGGGCCGACCCACACAGCGCCAATTATCCCGGTGTGATAACGAGCATCTGAAACCCAACACCACTGTATGATAATAAACAATTATCCATTAATAATAAATAAGGCTCTCTCTAAAGGGCGTGACGACGGCCCTCTGCAAGCCTGGAGATGAATAATGCACAAAGTCCTGGTCAAACGGGCCGACCCACACAGCGCCAATTATCCCGGCGTGATAACGAGCATCTGAAACCCAACACCACTGTATGAACACACACACACACTCACACACTCTCCCACACCTCATACGGCAGTGTATCTAGGATTAATATCTCACTCCCGCTTATGTTATTTTCTTGATTTCCCTGCAGTGTTTAGGAAGGAGAGGACTTCGGTTACGCGGCCCTCGCCGCCAGAACTGTCGCTCTCATTTTGAATTACAAATCAATCACAGGTGCCACCCGTAGCCCCACCAAGGTCATTCAGATTATCAGAGGTTATGAGGAGAGACTGATGGACCGCTGGCGTATTAGCATAGTCCGGTACAGGGTCTCGAGTTAAAGAGCCCCTCTGGACCTTTTCAGAATTCCCAGCTCGGCCTCCCCAAAGACACTGTTACTGCTTATTATGGAATGAATGCTTTGCACTTTGCACCGGTCAATTATAGATATTAAGCATAAAGAAAATATACAGGGCTTCCACAGGGCCACTGGATATCTGACAGCGCTTGGACAGGTATCAGTCAGCGTAAGATGTGGGTTATTTTGAAGGTCTATTAAACAAGCTGTACATTAATAGTCATATTTTTTCAACTGTTTACCAGTGACCACTATAACAGCCCATTAATGGATAATTAGCTGATATTTTACCTTTTTTTAGAGTCTCAGCCGAACAGTGCAAATCCCGAAATCATCAACATCATCAAATCATACATTCTGTAGCTTCTGCCGTCACATCAGATTTTGTGAGTATAAGTTACTATACATTTCTACAAATTTATATTAAGTTAATCACTTTTTTAATCACAATGCCACATAGTTTTTTTATACCATTATTTATTTCATTTAATTTTAGTATTTAATATTTAGGACACCCACACACAAAGTTATCTAATTTTATACCATTATTTATTTCATCATAATAATATTAAAAATAATAATAATTATTATTTTTCATTATTGTTTACTGCATGCAACTTTTTAAATAATGATTAGTATGATTAAGATTGACAAGGATTATAACATGTAAATCGTTTTAATCGTGTTTGTTAATGTTCTAATGTTTTCACATACAACTTTTAAATAATGATTAGTGTGATTATGATAATAACAAGGATTTTAGCAGAAAATGTAAAAAAAAAATTATTTAATCATTTTAATCATGTTTATTTGTTAATGTTATTTCACATACAACTTTTTATATATAAAGTGTGTGTATAAATCATTATTAAATAGTAATTAGTATATATCATGATGATAATTACAATGACATAAAATCTCTCTATCTATCTATTCCCTTTTTCACATATTACTATATAAGTACACCGTATCCAGCAACTGTGTGTGAAAACCTTGTGAAGACTTACAGAAAATGTTTGACCTCTGTCATTGCCAACAAAGTGTATATAACAAAGTATTGAGATGAAATTTTGTTATTGACCAAATACTTATTTTCCACCATAATTTGCAAATAAATTCTTTAAAAATCCTACAATGTGATTTTCTGGATTTTTTTTTCTCCTTTTTTCTCTCATAGTTGAGGTATACCTATGATGAAAATTACAGGCCTCTCTCATCTTTTTAAGTGGGAGAACTTGCACAATTGGTGGCTGACTAAATACTTTTTTGCCCCACTGTATCTACAAGTGTGTATATACATTTAATGTTTACATTTTATAGTTGGTTTGTAGCGGCCCTGCTTTCCAGATATCCGTATCTACATCAGCCACTGGCAACCATGTATTGGTTGAATGTTGCTATTTATGGTGGTTTCAGAATAGATTCATTATGGTATATTTGCAAAATGAACATGTGTAAGTTAGTGTTTCACTGCATTTACGTCACACATGTGCTAGTAAATGTAAGTAAACCTGTGAATTAATATGCACTCATGTATATGCATTAGAAAACCAGAGCAGAGAATTTCCCTCTGATTCCCTTTGATTTCATTTCCAGAATGAAGGTTTGGCAGGAGGCAAATTAGCATTAAAGAAATGTCTTTGCTAGATGACTGTTCTCCAGCACCTCCAAAACACACTCTCTCTCTCTCTCTCTCTCTCTCTCTCTCTCTCTCTCTCTCTCTCTCTCTCTCTCTCTCTCTCTCTCTCTCTCTCTCTCTCTATGTAGCAATCTAGTATCTAGGCCATTTTATTAAAAAAAGTCGCAGGGCAGCATTGACAACATGTTTGTGTGTGTGTGCAGTGCAATCTGCGAATTTATCTCCCGACCTCTCTCTCTCTCTCTCTCTCTCTCTCTCTCCCTCTCTCTCTCGCTCTCTCGCTCTCTCTCTCTCTCGCTCGCTTTCTCTCTGGTTGTCTGGAACTCTGTGAGTTCACTTTGTCCTAATGACACTCTCTCGTCTCCACATCCGCACCGGCCGTCTCAACATCCTGCCCTGATCCCAGTGATTTAAAACACACTCCAACGTACCCCATCTTTATTGTGGGATAAAGCGCAGCGCAGGCCTGAGATACCTTTGCTCTCCCCGTCTGCATCTGCGGCACATCTGGAAGTGTGAGTCTAAATAATTGGAAGTCAATTTGTTTGAAGTTATGTTTTGGCATCTGGTTCAATTCATTCGATCTCTGGAAATCACATTCAGGGGTTTTATAGCACTGCCCCAGCTGGAGGCTTTTCATCTCTTTGTGCTATGTGGTTAATTCGGCGCTCTCTGGCCAGTGATGTGGGAGTTTGTGAAATACTGCTGGGTGTGGTCCTATAAACACAAAAATGGAGGCTCGGCCCCAGAGGATTATGGGAAGGCTGTGTAGTGATGTGGCAGAGTCTGGTCACCTGGGGACGTTATGATCACCTCGTATCAGTAGGAGCCTTGCAGTCCTGCTGACATCCCTGATCGGTCACAATTAAACACGCTTTGTTCTTATTAATTATTTGATTAGGATAATATTTGAATATTCTATTCTAATGAATTCTATTACATGTAATAGTGTGTAGCATGAACGTTTACATTTTTCTAAGACATGCAGCATTTATAATACATGGCTTGTCAATGTTTAAAGTTATTTTAAGTGGTATCTCTGCAGATTTTGTGAGCACAAGTTGCTCTATAAATTGATATTTTTAAGTTTATAAGTCACTTTATTTAATTTATTACAATCAGTGTTATTTTTTAAAGGGGTCATAGGATGCTACATGCACTTTTACAAGTTGTTTGAACTGAAATGTGTGTTGGCAGTGTGTGTTCACAACCACCCTAAAATGATAAAAAATCCACCCAGTGGTTTTTTGTGAATCTACTAAAATCTTTACCCCTTTCTCAAATCCAGCCGGTCTCAGATGCCTGTCTGTGTGACGTCACACAGACAGGCCCCTCCCACAATAGTTTGATTGACAGTAGCGTTTCAGCACAGACTGGACTGGCGTCTTACCTTAGCTCCGCCCTGAGTGACTGTCATCAGTCTGCCATTGTTTCACCGCCGGAGCAGATGTAGACAAGAATGACTCCTAAGCGATTGAGGTGTTCTGTTGTTGGATGTAATAATGAACAAAGCAGTCGTTGTTTACTCCCGACATCTGAGCCGCTGAAGACGCAGTGGATTATGTTTGTTTTTGAAGGGAATGCGCCCCGATCTACATAAATGCGTCTATGTTCGCGCGAATCATTTTTGATCTTCACCTACAGAAGAAGTGAGTGTAAGGTTTTTTTTAACGAATCTTTGCAAATCGCCTTTCCTAATAATGTGCTAATTAGCAAGTTTCACGATGAATGCAGCTAAAGTAAACAGTCTCTCTGAGAGCGGCTCGGAAGAGAGGGGCGGGGTCAGCAGAGCTCATTAACATTTAAAGGAAAATGCTACAAATCTGCATGCTGTTTTTGACAGGGTAGAAAAGGTGTTTTTTACACTACCATTGAGAAATTTTAACCAAACTATGTTACAGACTTTTCATTAAGACCCTAAAGAATCATTTCAACTTGTGGAAAATGGGCATCCTAGGATCCCTTTAAGTAAAGAAACAATGACAGTTTTTTCTTAATATTTTGAATATGTTATTTTTATATTTTCTATATTATGTTGTTATTTGTATTCATTTTATTTCAGTTTTATTTATTTTACAGTACAGGTTGATGGAACTTAATAAAAATTTGAAATGCCTTGGCAACTAGCTGATATAAAATAAGTTTTTGTATATTTATTTCAGTTAACAAATATTTATTTTCAGTTTATTTCAAGTAACAAATGTTGTTGTTGGTTTTGTATTTTTCCCCCCTAATATCTCCCATTTTCTTTTGTTTACAAGATTCACAGATAGCAAAAGGCACAGTCCAGAGGGTGTTTTGTCATATTGTCGTCCTGTGTGAGATCAGACTGCACACATGAGCATCCCAGTCTATTACCACCATCTGCTGGTGACACACAGGACAGTGGCAACAAATTCAGGTACAGTAACAACAAGGCTACGTTTTCTGGGATTCTACATTGATGTCCCATGTCAGTTGCAGTTTTTCTAAGAAATCTAAATCAATTGACCAATGGCTGAAGATGATTGAAAATAGAGGATTTAGTCTAGTATAGTTTCTGCTGCATAAAAAACATTGCTGTTTGTGTGTCTAATATAAGTGCATTTTTAATATGTATGAAGATAGGTTTTTTATGTTATAGTATTGAGTCTGTTTGCATGTATTTAAAACAAAACAAAAAGAATCTATAATTATTAGTGGTGGGATTCGAACAAACCCCCTACCCTAAATAATTAATGATTTTTAGGAGCATGTAACTGAGACCATTTAACCGGTGAAAAAATTGTTGCAAAAGTTGCATTGAGGGATGGACTAGAGTTGTAACTAAAGACTTGAGAATTGAACATCAGAGATTTGAACGTGGACTATTTTGATCTGGACCAGTAAAAACAATGTAGCGATATAAAAAAAAAAACACTGTAGCCCATAGCGTTATGTTTGAGTTTTGCATAAGATTGTTTTACACAGATTATCTTCAGAAAAATTCAAAAAAAAAAAATACACTCAAAGTTATAAATCAAACAGGTTATTGGGAGTACATTTTAAATGAAAATACTATTTAATGTGTAATTCAATGTTACTTGTGGTTTCTTTGTAATTATTTGATGAATTTACTAGCTTGTAAAAGAGTGGTAAAAAAGTAAATCCTACACCAAATATTTTTCAGTATACCTTGTCATCTGACTACAAAAGAATGTCGATTTCTAATCTTGCGGACCGTTCTAGCATATAGTATGATTGCTTTTTTGCATTGAACATAATATTTGTTCCTTTTTCAATTCTTTATCCATATTGAAATAAATCAAAGGACTATATTTGCGGAGGGAAAATGGTTTGGAAGTGGCTGAGAAAAAGAAAATAGGAAATTGCGCTTATGAAAATGATTTCCATGAGGCCTCGTCCATGTTTGTAATTTAATGAAAATCCATATTTACTTTGGGTAATTGCGCTGGCCAATTAAGCGTAAACATCACTCAGCACTTTGTAGTTGGGAGTATCAGAGCTTGATAATGATGTGGCAGTTCAATTTTATTTTCCGTCTGCAGCAGAGATGCAAGTCGAAGCTTTTTCGATTTCATTACAGAGAAACATATAAGCTAATAACATTCTCAAACATTAATTTAGCCTGGCTTTGATGAACACGGGCTATCTGCCGAAATGCATTGACATGTTTTTTCAGCATGCCTAGTGTTTGTTGTATTATTAATGTGTTATTTCATTTTCGATTCTGGTTAAATAATATCTGCTAATGAAATGTTTCTTTAGAAGGCTGCCTATTCTGGGCAAGTCCAAAATAAAACTTTAAATCAACTTGACTCATAAGAGACTGCTGTGTTACATGTTGTTGCTAACTATTTATGATCGTTAGTGTTTGTATATGCAGTAGAAATCAACTCGTTTGGGATTCAGAGTCTCGTGTGATTTTGATCATGACTGTTCTGTGGTAAACTTCTGCTGTGAATGGGTTTTGTGTTAGTAGTTGTTCAGAAGACTGTTAGCGGATAATTAGTGGTTGTTTGAGAGTCATCCTCATCAGTGGTCAGGAGCCTCCCAGTGGGCGGTACTTCAGACAGGCCCGGCTATCATCACTTGTTAGGGGTCAGCTATCTGGGGCCAGATTTAAAAAAATAATAAATGTAAACGCATTAAGAAATAAATGTTTGTGTGTTTGTTTTTTGGTCAGCATAATGGTTTAGTTACCAACATTCTTCAAAATGTCTTTTTGTGTGTGTGTGTGTGTGTGTGTGTGTGTGTGTGTGTGTGTGTGTGTGTGTTTTTCAGGCATTTGGAACTACATGTGGGTGAGTAAACAAAATAATTTTTCATTTCAAGTTAGGAATTTTATTTTTCATAATGTTTTGAGAATCTGAAATATAATAATGGCTCATATATTATGATTATAGAGATACTCAAGAAGGAATACAACTTGAATTTTATTCAGAGGCCCAAACGGAGTAAAATGTGCAATTTGCATAAAAATGTCTTAAAATGATATTTAAATGCTTAGTTTTATGATCAAAGCTCTGTAGTTTTTATTGTGGGGGCAAAACATATAATGCAGTGCAATATATAAAAGTTGCGTTTACTTCATAAATATCGGCAAAAAGACATGTGCACCGTGACCTGAAGGGGGATGTTTTTAGAATTATATTAAGGCCTTTTATTTGCTAAAAAAGTATAAACTATCAATCAGATGACAAAAGGCATGTAGTGCAAAAGGTTTTTTTCTTTTTTAGTAAAGTTGATTATTTTGATCATTTAGAGATTTGCATATCAAATATAATACAGTAGGCTTCATACAGTTAGGACCTCGACTGAAACTTGGGATATGAATGAAATGTGAGACAATGTGTTCAATTTATCAAAAAGGGGTTTATTGTGTTTTCCCAGACCCCTAGAGTTATATATAAAAAGTAACAAGTTAGATTAAGAAATGTTTAAGAATACAGGGATTAAAACATAAATACATGACCAGTATGTTTCTGGAAAAATACATTATGTATGAAATATAGAAAGATGCGTTAGGGGTTTTTTTGCCTATAGCATGATAACGTCTTTATTGCTTCTGGTCTCAGTGGTAATAAAGTTAGCCTGCTTTGGATAAGGCACAAAAAGATCTCTCTCTAAACTGGTCCGTCTCAACAATGCCATTAAGTTTCAGAAATATAAAGTTGGTGATCCAGTGGTCATACGTAACCAGTGTTATTGCTGTATAGACAGTCTTTTAGGTCAATGTCAGTAGATCAATCAGTCAATCTCCCTTTTTTAATGTGTCTGACTCAACATTGGAGTAAGATTCTCGTCGTCTTTGTAATCCAACGGAACTGGGAGATCAGTTACACAGTGTTACAGGTCAGCGTCCGGACGGTCAGAGCTCGTCTGCTTCCTCTGAGCTGAAGCTGCTCCTGCAGCTGCTCCCTTTGGACACGGCGGGCGATCCGGCAGAGAGGAGCGGGTCAGTCCCGAAGGGCGAGAGAGGGTCGTCCATCAAGATCTCGTCCAGCCGGTGCTCTTCTTTCAAGGTGCTGCAGAAGAAGTCAGTGAAGTGGGAGAGAGGATCGGAGAAGGTGTTGGAGCCGTCGGTCTGTTCTCCGGCGTTCCCCGCAACCATGGCTGCTGGTAAGGGAGCCCGCTGAGTGTATTCTGGGTTGCTCATGTCCTCCTGAGGGTAGACGGGTGGCTGGCCTGGCTGCGGCGGGGCCTGGGTGCTCGGAGGGGCCGGTGTGACCAACTGTTGTTGCTTTAGGAGGTGTGATGAAAGTTCAGCGGCTCCCATAGAAGCAGCCATACTGGGCAAACCATGAGCGCGAGCCTGGATTTCCAATTCCTGCCAATTATAACACACACAGGCAGGTGGGTTAAAGATGAACTGACCATAAAAATAATAAGAGTACACTCTAATTTGGTCTCTTCCCTTCTTCCTACTTTTGCTCTAGGCCTTCATCAACCCCAATAGGGAGTTTATGTGCCATAAACACATGAAGGGATGCATTCAACTTCAAAAACTCATGCAGCACAATGCTATATTCTGAGGTAATGTCCAGCCAGCAGGGCTTCCCATTAAAACAGGGCAGCTAAGCAGTGTGTGACGCATAATTATTAACTTACCCACACCTTTGGGCTTAAGCTGCCACCATTGCGAAGGTTTTTGGCAAAAGTATTCTTAAATGCTCAACATTTCAACATCATATTTATTAATTGTAGTCGGTTTTACTTGGCATCTAATTTTAGCTGGTGAAAATAAAATTTGCATCTTTAGAAATACTTTTTTACATATTTTATACATTTATAATATCTGACGTTTTGGGCTTAAGCTGCAACTATCATATTTTTTGGTCAAAATATTCTTAAATTGTATATATATATATATATATATTTTTTTTTTTTTTTTTCAGTGTGTTTATTATAAAAAAAATATAAAATTAAGGTTAATTAAATTCTGTCAGCCCAATTTAGATGTTCTTGTTTCAGATAAATGCTCCATTTTTCATCTGTTAGTTTAGAAAGATATTATGTTCTGCTTTTTAAAAAAAAAATGGAAGCTAGTCTTTTTTCAGCACTTCATTCCTCTGTTTTGTGTTGCATCCCTCTCTTTAGTGTTCTTCCTTGTCGCTCACTCCTACAACCATCTTTTTCTTGCCGTCTCTCATGTCTACATCTCATTGGCACTCTCTCTCATGGCCATATTCCCCTCGTTCTCTTGTTCTTTTTGTCTCTTTACCTGGATTCGTAGCAGGAGTCTTCTGTTGGCCTGTTCAAGTTTCTTCTGTCGGCTCCCGAGATCACGAGCGTGCTGCTGCTCTTTCTGCAGCCACTTAATGTATTCCACCGAGGCCTTGAGGATCGTCCCTTTGTTCCAGCGCATATCACTGCCAGAAAAACGTAAAAGATAACCTTTCTCAACACCGCCTTTGCATCAGCAGAACTTTCATACACAGAGAAAAGCCTCACAAGGGTCTCCTTTTTTCCCAGGACTAAGAAACTGTGATTTACATGGCCAATTATTCATTCTCGGACATTACCTTGCCTTTGAATGGGAATTTTAATGGAATAGTTAAGCACGTCTGCAGAAAGACCATTCTACGGCTCCTTGTACGGTAAAATTAATCCCTGAGCAAAAAGAGGTAGAAAAAAATTGGACTTCGGCAGCCGAAGTAAAGTGCAGTCATTCCCGATACCATTACTTTTTAAAAGGAGGAAAGTGTCGTGAAATTGTCTCTTTCTTTGGAATAAGATGTTGGCCTGATCGCAGCTAATAATCTCCTTTATCTTGTGTTAATGGCAAGGTGACAGCACTAGTCTTCCATTTAAATTCGATACAAAGTTCAATTAAGCCGGGGCAATGGACCTCATGTCTGCACTGTACTTCATCTCTGGGTTCAGTTGTGCTTAAACTTTAGTTCAAATGCT